AACGTGCTTGTACAGCAGTTTGTTGTTAGCACTGAAAGTTTTCGCGATGTTCTGCTGATAGGCGGCTTTGTCGTCTCTTAAAAGTTGAGTGCAGTGGTTACGTTGGGCTACGTAGTTGTCCCACGTTTCTGGCGCTGGAGCTTCTTTGTACACTCGTCATGCTGCGTTGCGTACTGTCATCCATTTTCGGGTTCTGCTCCTAACGAAAGAAACAGATTTGCACTTATTGCAAGCATTTATCTCTGAAGCCTGTGCAATCAGCTGACTGAATGTGTTGACGAACTCGAGCCAGGCGACTTCCGGCGGTTACGCTTCGAGGAAAGACCATGTTGTGGTGCTGACTAGCTGGGCGAGTCGGTCGTACCCTGTGATGGTTCGCACAGTATCATCGTTATCATTCGGATATTCTGCATAGCAGACGAAGTTGAAACGGGCAGTCTAAAACCAACGCATCAATCATATGCTCCTTGTTGGTAAGCACAAGATCCAACACAGGTGGCCAGTTGCCAGTTCTGAACCGAGTGGGAAAAGTGATGTGGTTGTAAAGAGGAGCAGTAGTTAGTAGATCTTGTAAATCGGTTTTGAATTGTTCGCCGGTTGTAGCAGGGGCTTCTAAACAATGTACGTTGAAATCACCCATGATAAGAATGTGAGTGTACTTTTGTTGTAAGCTGCACCTTAAAGCAGACATCAGGTGGTAGTCGGTTTCGGGTGTTGATTTAGGGGCGCGGTACACCAAGATAATAAGGAAAGCGTCCCTGCCTTTTAACTGCAACCGGCACCAAAGAAAGTCGGGGAACTGCAAATCTGAATCCTCCACGGCTTCGCACTGTAAGTCGCTTCGGTAGTACAGGATTACCCCTCCTCCTTTTGTGAGCCTGTCGTTCCGGATCAGTGGCATTCCGGGTAGCGACACCTCAGCGTCCGTCATTCCCGTGTGCAACCATGTCTCGGTGATACCAATGACATCATACGAGCCGGAAGCTTGGCGATCTTTCAGTTCAACCAGTTTGTTAGAAAGTCCCTGAGCATTTGTATACAAGCAGGCCAGTTTCTCGGTCTCTGGGAGCCCGCAGAGAGGTGGAGCTGTCAAGTGTGGGAGAATGCCGACCGATGGGAGGTCGGCAGTTATTCGTTTTTTTGATGGGTCAATGATACCTCGTTTGCAACTTGATTCGGCCAAGGTGCGTCCCAATCTTCGTTTAGACCTACTTCAGAGTCAATTAAAGCAGCAGTCAAGTTACACTTCTGTACATTCGTCAGGATGCTTGCCGCTTCAGTTGCTTTAATACTTGAGTTGTGCGAATTGTTTGCGACCTTTAACCGAATTTCGGAAGGAAGATGTTTCCGATTTCTCCGCCATCGATCCAAAACATCCTTTGCTTGTTGATCTTACTGAACCACAAGTTTTAGGATTCTAGGGCCGCATCCTCTATAATTCGATGGGAGTGGTATCCTGGTGAGCGATAGTGCCACAACATCATCCAAAGAAAGTGTTTCACGAATGAACCGCCACTGTTCCACATCGTGCTTTCCGGTCTCTTGAACATCGTTAGAAGGATGTTCTGGCACGCCATGTATGAAGACTGTGTTTAGGCGGTCTTGCTTGCTGTGCCCCTCTTCGGTGTTTCGTTTTGGTTTTCGCGCGCTCCAAGGGACATCAGGATAGATACGTATCGCACAGGATTCGTGTTTTAGCGCGCTTGCGGAGAGCAAAACATTTTCCACGTCGGTGGAGGATTCTAGTGTTACTCGAATAAGTCTGGGTTCACCATAGTGTGGCGAGTTCGGATGACGAGTAATTCGTAACAAGTGTATGGGCTTGGCTTTGATACTCATCTGCATACACAATGAGTTCCGTTGGTCTTAGTCGTATGATAACTTATCCCGCAATGTGATGGCGGTAGATTCAGGGACATTTGAGCATACAACCGTCCGGGCACTGTTGTTGGATCCCTTTTTAATCGATCTACTAGGCATGATACTCATTTTTCTTGACTTTTTGACAAGTGATTTTTGCTGTTTTTCTCTCCATTTGCGTTAACGGTGTTTACAATGGAAGAGGACGACGACGCAACGGCAGCCTCTCGGTGGACCCTTGCAGCAATCTCTGCATATGTAACCGATGTTCTGGGAGGCTTAGTCTCGACAAGAGATACTTGAGCTACAGGTACCAAGGGTTGGTGTTTGGCTGCTCCATCCTTGTTAATACTAGATGTCAGGTCTAGTGGAATTTGCTTAACCAGACGTTTTGAATGGTGCCCGATTTTCTTTGCTGTGAGTACTGCTTGATTCACGTAGGTACAGTCTGTTTTCGCCCGGCGTTCTACCAAAGTTGGAGAAGACAACGGAGATGGAGACATGGCTGATTGCTGTGCAGGCGAAGCGATTTGTTCAGCATTCCGTTGCTTAGCAGCCGCTACGCTTCTGTGGTCCATACTCGCTCCCATTGAAGTAATCTCATTGTTTATCCTCTTCACTGCTTCTGCGATTAACCGGTCGCATTTCTCAGCTAGGATAAGCAAGCACTTAACGAGGGGGATGGTGGAACACGCAGTACAGAACCAAAATGCAGCTTGGGAGCTATTTCGCTCCCGTAACTGTTGTTGGGACACATTTGCACATTTCGTATGGTACCATTCTAAACAGTGCGAACAAGCCAGACCGATTTTTACTACCCGATGACATTCTCCTAACCCGCAAATGCCTTTCGATGGGAGTCTCTTCGGTTTCGCCTTTCTGCCATTCAATTTGGTGTCGTTACCTGACCCAGTGGGTTGGTTAGCGTTCTGTACTTTTACAGCTTTGAGAGCGGCGCACATCGGTCAGGCGAGCGTGGTGGTTGCAAGGTCAAATGAGCGGTCGGCGTGGTCGCGCGGTCCGTGTGATGGGTAATGCAGCCGCACTGGCTGACAAGGTCACAAGGAATGGCGAGTGACTGCAACCTGAACAGAGCGCTGAACACAGATTCTTTCACAGCTGTGTTGTGAAACACTGGATCGGAGTAAGCTTAGGCTTTTCGGCCTGCCTCGAAAATTCTGTATCGAATGGTGTCACACAGAATGGCAATCGGCTCAATACGACTGAATTAAACGCTTGCGCTTAATCACAGATGCCAGTGAGAACGCTTAGTGATGGCACAGCCTCTAATCGTAGAAGATATTTCCACGTATGATGGATCACTGTGTAGAGCTGGTAAATCCGGTTCGAATGAGCGTACAGTGACAACGCTGCGAGAAGATGGAGAGAGGATAGAGGGAAATAATTCAAATGAACCAGTAGCACGCACGTCACGCGATGACCTAGCTCTATCCCGCATCGCTTGGAAGTTCGCGGCCCAAATGTTCGGATACCAACTGGTGGTAGCTTGGCAAGACCTGATAAGGGCACACTGGAAAGACAAGCAAACGTGATCGCTAGCGCCAAGAGGCGAGTCATATTTAATGTCATTTACAAAGTCAAGTGAATTAGCAAAAACAAGATCTAAAATGGACGGCTGCTGATTGCTCGTGTACCTAGTGGGGAGGTCCACGAACTGGTGTAGTGGTACCTGCAGCGTCAAGTCCAGCAGTTCTGTACCGAACGATTCCAGCGTCGAACTGCAAGATAGATCATCCCAACAAACATCTGGGAGGTTGAAGTCTCCCAGCACCAGACACTTGTTCGCAGAGTGAGTGCGTATAAACTCAATCATTTCGTTAGAGGTGCTCATAGGGCTTCTATACACTAACACAACCGTAGCCTGAACCGAGGAAGCGCAAATCAAGACTGCGAGAGCCTCAACAGATTTGTCGAGAGACTGAAAAACGCTGGTCCTCAATACGTCGATGTGATAACTCACATAAAGAGCTACACCACCCCCTTGACGGCCAGTGGAGCGATCAGCGCGGAACAGTGCGTAGCCAGGCAGATATACTTCGCCATCTGTGATTTCCTCAGACAGCCACGTTTCAGTGAAAGCAAGTATATCTGGACGAGATTTGTCTACGAGCAGACCCACCTCGCACATTTTGTTCCTCAGGCTACGCACGTTACTAAGTACTACTTGGAGTGTTTCGGCCCGACCAGCCCTGGGTCGTGCGCAAGTAGTATAGGTTCTGGCAGGGCGGAAAAGGACCGCCGGCTGACCACCTGAAAACCCACCAATCGGAGACCTTGCTCGCCAGCTGCACGCCGGGCTTTTAGGTCTCTGATGGCTTCCTTTAACTTTAACCTATCCGCTAACGGAAGGTCTGGTTGCACACTAACGTTGGTACCTTTGAGCTTGAAGGCAAATCTCAGTAAGGCCCTGCGCTCTTCTGGGGTGGAGAGGACCACCCTAAGCAGACGGGGTCGAGGATTTGGTTGACCAACCGGAACGTTCCCCAATCTGATGAGCTTCCTGACAGTAACGCCAGGGAAACCTGGTGGTAAAAGCCTGGTCACACAAACTTTAAGCCAATCAAGATCCTCAAGCATGCGCTCGGCAGGAAGAGCTGCAGTGGATTCAGTGACGTTTCTGAAAATCACACTGCTATCTGTGTAAGAATCGCCTCGACGAGGTGTATTTACACCACATGCTCTACCATCCACGCCATATGGTTGTCTGACGGGAATTGGTGAAACCGAAGGCGACGGCACCTCTTGTCTCACTGAGGGAAGTGCAACACCAGGTGGTGTTTTCAAAGCAGGCGCTTGCTTCTTGAGCATTTTGTCACCTTCCGGTTTGGGGGCGGAGGGTTTGCGCGCTTTCCTTACCCGCTTACGCTTATTCTTTAATGGCTCAGGAGCCCGTGATTCGCCTTCCATTTGGGGCGGGTCAACAATGCCGTCCGAGGCATCTGTGTCTGTTATATCCACGTGAACAGGAGCGTCCGGTAGGATGAACTCCTCGTCAACGGTTGGACTATCAGCAGAAGGACAGTCCGTTACAGCGTCCACATTCGCAATATTCAGGGATTTCATAATCAAATCCACTTTAGAATTGAGCGAGGCAAGTGAGGCAAGCTCGGCTAATGCCTTCTCGACAACTGTGAATCTGGACGCTAGTGCTTTGAATTCAGCACAGGTGAAAGCCGGGAGCTTCGCTTTCTGAGCGCAACAATCAGCACATCTAAACAGAAGGCTTTCACTGGATGATAGCATCTTGTACTGATTCGCTCGGAGGCCGGTACAACTTTTGTGATACCAACGAGAGCAAACATCACACTGCATAGCACCAGATGAATCTGTGACTGGCCTTGAGCATGCAGAATTGCTGCAAGGGGCATTTGACTCATCAAACGAAGACACGAGGGCTTCATCCGTAACGGTTTTCCGCGAGACGACCATATTGAAGTGGAAAACAACGCAGAATTTAAAAACACGTATACAACCGTAAAACTACCACAATAAAAAGGCAAAACAGGGTGTAAAACGGGATTAAAAAGGGAACAACCGCAAAATTACCAGTAAGCGTCAGGAAGACGCTTTGGCCAGTACCACTTTAGTCGACCCAAGATATCTTGGATCAGAGGAAATTTGACAAGAGCCAAATTTCGTTTCTATTGTTTATTCAAACACTGTTTTCCACGTTATTTCAACTAAAAATCTCGATCAGTATGGCAAGCCAAAAAACCGAGTTACCGCGTAGCACTCACAGGTCACAGGTCCATCCGTAATATGGATGGCAAGCATAAATTATTATAAGCGGTGTACTAGTTTTACTTGGGATATGATGTGTAAACATTTATTGACGTAAAATGGATAAAATAAGGAAGGTCGTAATGGTGCCGGAAAATCAACAGACGCAGATGTGCGGAAATGGGAAGTGCTAATTTTTGTCATATCCCAAGTAACACTAGTACACCGCTTATAATAATTTATCCTTGCATTCAAATTACTCAAAGGCCAAATTTTTTAAGCTGTCAAACGGATGTACCAGTCTGCACTACAGCAATTAAAATATAACCCCGTTAGTGCAATCCAACCGTCCCATCTGAAACAGCTCCTGATTTCAAATAGCCCCATTTGCAAACTTGACGATCATGTAGAGTGTTAGAGTCTAGTTAAAATTATTGCCTTAGATAGCGGCTGATGAACTACTGATTTAAACAAAGCATCAGACCCAGTAGTTATTTACTATTCTGACTGACGTTGACAATAAAAGCAAGCCAATCTTAAGGCTTCCTGTGATTTTCGCGATATCGTGCCTTTAGTATTAAACACGATTGTATGGTAAAATCCCAGTTTACTTGTGTGGTAGAGAGAAGAGAGACCCCTTGTCATCTCCTTGTCTTCTCGTTCCAGCAAAGAGTTCATGTTTTGTACTGTTGACTCTGATTAGAAACTTGGTAAGGTTGCTTTGAAACCGAAATAACCGCTCGCTTCCCTGAAAAGGAAGCTTTCGCACGTCTCGTGGACAACTGTTTCGTCGTGCGATCTTTACGTGACCTCATCAAACCTTTCCCTACCGGACCCTGACTTAGAATATTACAGGCTTTTGTATACCTCCTCTAATTGAATATAAACAACCTTGCCCGGTAGACAATTCCAATTATTAGGTTATTGGCTGCGCTTCGGTTACCAGACGGTGGAGGGGCAACGTTAGATGCGTGCCAAATGCGGTGGAGTATTGTTTGAGACAGCTAACCCCAATGTATTTGGAACAGGCCAAAAAGAATGTAGAGCGAACCGGTATGGGTGCAGTAGGCGCACCGTAGAACGCATAAGCACAAAAGTGGCTGTGGCTGTACATCGGAGCACGGCGTGTTCTGATATCTTGGGTAGCGTTACCATTTCTTTTCTCGAAGATTCATTCTGAAGTTACCGAATAAAGGATAAAATGACCTACAAATGGTTGGATTGTCATAACTGTGTCACTTCCATTTTGAGAGTTATACAAAATGCCTTACGCAAACAGCGGCTGCAAATTGCAGGTTGTAACATCGGTGCGGATGTGTAGGATCCCCCGAAAGTCCATGTCCCTAATCGTCATCCTTATTTGTGTCTAATGTTAGGCTGCGTCAAATTTTAGGCGCCTTTGGAACTGATTACCTCCAACCAGCCCAGGCCCAGCACGCTTTTACATCGTTTCGCAGAAGAAAAAAGAAGCTCCGACGCTCCATCGCACTTCTGTTATCTCATTTCTCCCAAATACTCCTGGAAAACACGTTTCTTTAGTGTTATTTCCCGAACTATCGTCAATTGATCTACAGTACAACGAAGGCGAGGAACGGACTTTAAAGTTAATAGTGGGCAATATTGTAAATTCGTTACCTGTAATCCGGTTTACGTTGCGAGAGAAGGTGAAGAATGCTACCGCATAAGCAAGGTTTGACCTGTCTTCAATGAGCACCCACTTCAATCGTTTACTACTATGTATACCACTGTGCAAGCGGTGTGAAAAAGGAGATAATAAATCCTAAGGCGGTCTAACTCGTCAAATTCCAAGCTGAAGACCCTCGATTATATCTGCCATCATTTTATCTCACAGAATCTCTCATATGGCTTTACAAATCATTTATATATCCGTGGATGGAATACTGTTCAATGGTACAGTCTAATCTGCGGAGATCTGACTACCATGCTCATGACAGGGTCCAGAGGCGCTTCACGAGAATATTATGTGATTATTCCTCGAAGTTGCCATACAGAGGGCGATTTGACAAAATTGGATTTGACTCGGTTTCTATTCGGATAATGGAGCTGAAACAATTTTTAATTTACAGCATCAAAAGTTGTCAAATTCGCAGTCTTGATAACGATGTTCACAAATGTGTAAACAACAGAAAATTAATACGTAACGGAGAGGTAAAAGTCATGATTACAAATTTACTACGAAAATTGGAGAACGTTTCTTTCTAACCCAATACTTAAATATTTTGAACAAACTTCAAATGATATCAGAACATGCTATACACTTTGCAATTTCAAGCCTGCAATTAGTAAGCATTTAACTGTCCAAAACGTGCTTAATATGTTTGGAACATAACAGGCCCTAGATAACGCATTCGAAAACAGTATCTATGGTATTTGAATAAACTTTCGAAACACATAACATTTCGGACAACGGCCTCTTTCATCGCATTTTTCGGCCCGAACATCTGTCATGTGATTGTGAAGAATGCTGCTACAATGGCAGGAACAACAGCAGAATGATTACTCTCTGATTACTCTCTGCTACCTAATTTGCAATCCCGCATATGTTTATTTCTGAAAGGGTATTAGTGCAATGTGACGGTAAGTTTTTACCATTATTTGATCCGTGCATTTTCGGATACAGCTTCTCGCATCTTTGAGGAATATACCAATTCTTTATTTAACTTATCAGTAATGCCTCTGGCCCTAATCCATAAGTTGCGTATTTTGATTAACTACATTACTATTTTTACCTGGATTGAGCAATTCAATGCTCAGTTATCGGCTCCTGGTCTTCGTATTGAGATGCCTTTCGCTCACAAATTGAGCACTCAAAATCATTTTGTCCGTAGCCTTACTTTCCTAATGCAGCTGTAGACATCGATTTCTGATAAGGAAGAACTGTGTGTGCAATTATAACATTTCCCGGCCAAGTTGTCCTCTAGGGTAACAGAAATAATCTGAGGAGACATTCAGCATGAGTCTACTCAAATAATTTGTTCCATGTGTACGACAGTCACTTGTGCAGGAGTGCAGGTATGCGTGCACAGCCCATCGTCTTCAGCCAATTGGACCTCAGACGTACTAAATCATAGGGGTGCGTGTGAGACGCTTCAGCTGCTACGCACGGAACAAATTACTTGAGTAAACACATGTTGAATGCCCTTCAGATTATTTCTGTTGCCCAAGAGGGCACCTTGGCCGGGAAATGGTGTAGAGGCCATTCCTTCCGGCATATGTGAACGCTGTACTGGAAATCGATTGTAACCTCATTGTTACGTAATTAAACTTTGTCACGTAGCGACCGCAGTGAGTACGATAATCAATAACTCAGTGTGCGCGAATGGCCATTCCAGCCTACGCCGATCAGTTACTCGTGTTGTGTGAGGAATGCTGCACAGTTAGCGAAGGAATAGCGGACAGGCGGTGAGTGTAGAAACGTCTTTCTTGGGTACAGTGCAATGATAAATGGGTACAGCATACAAAATTATCATCAGATAGTACAGAGTAGCAAATGTGAGTAGCTGCGGAATCAGTAAAGTTTAAGATAGGCTGTAAATTGGGGTGTGGGGAAAAACATTTAGTAATGTGGGGAAAGCAGATCAGGAATGCGGACTGACTTAAATGATATATGTAACAAGCGTGAGTTGATGCAACAACTTGTAGTGCCGCTACGGAATGAAGAGTTCTCGGTGTTGCACCTCGTATTATCGGTTTCGACTTCGTTTGGACTACACAACCGTCATGGAATATTTGCCTAATGCCGCAAAGCGCATTGAACAATACTGGAGCAATGAGACTGCTAGGGTACGGAATTAGACAATAACTTTCCCCATTTCATTAAATGAAAAATATCTTGAATATATCTCGAAAATGCGACACACAGACGGAGCGTTTGTTCTTCTCATGCTGCACATCAATATCGGAATTGGAAATTTTTTCTTTTTACAGACATTTCGCATTATTTTCTGATGTGTTTATCCAGCTAAAAGTAAAAATGTCTCGATAATAATAAAGTAGCAATAAAGGATTTGTAGTCGGCAGTTTAAGCAAAGTAACACGATTTTGCATGGAACCGTCGCCTGCGCACCAGCGTCCATGCGGTGCAGTCCATCGAGAAGTTTCCTCCGCACCTCTGCGCCTCACCTCCTCATACGCTGATGTGGTTTAAAAGCAAGTTAGCCGTAATCAGGTTGATTCATTTGTTAATGGCCGGCGCTATGAGCAAAAACGTCGTCATCTTGTAGACCCTATGCTTTGAACCTAGTGATACGGAAAGGGGCCGTCATTATATGGATGTTGGTGAAGAGCAGGTAGGCTAACACTTTGAAGATGCAGCTAAATGGACGGAAATAAACACTACAAACATTCAGCCCGACTCATATGAGTACAGTATGCTTCCTTTGCCATTGGGTCTGTGGCAAGTTGCCTTGCGTGGGTGTTGCTAATAAACTTGGAAGCTCTAATCATCACATCAGGATATCGGACCAGTGTTGTCAGAAATAGAACGAAAATCACAATCATTTAAATTTGATACGTCGCAATAGAATGAGATGTAGTCTGACGGTTGTCTTATTCCGTTTGTAGCAATCAACAAACGTGGATAATTAAGTGTCCGAAGGCTTTATAAGCAGGGCAGCTCCTGGTAGGTTTTCAGGTGATACCATCGGGTGTATTAAATCGGAAGGAGAGAAGTTGAAAGCAAATTGGAC